TCTTTCTTTCTTTCTTTCTTTCTTTCTTTCTTTCTTTCTTTCTTTCTTTCTTTCTTTCTTTCTTTCTCTCTCTCTCTCTCTCTCTCTTTCTCTCTTTCTCTCTCTCTCTCTCTCTCTTTCTCTTTCTTTCTCTCTCTTTCTTTCTTTCTTTCTTTCTTTCTTTCTTTCTTTCTTTCTTTCTTTCTTTTTCTTTCCTTCTTTCTTTCAGTAAGGGAAACCAGTAAGACCTCAAGGTGCTGGACAACAAGGTAAGTGAGTTGAGAATATGGCCCAGGCAGGCAGGGGCAGCTGAACACAGGGCTTCATGTAGGCATGAAGTTAAACTCCAAAGATGCAATTTCTAGTTACCTGTAGACTTGTCTGATTCTTCGAGTAGATCATGGGTTCTTCAAAGCCTGAAACAGTTTACTGCTGTCTGAATCCCCTGGAGCACTTAGCCAGCAAATAGCACTTTGACATTCTTTACCAAAAGAACCAACACTATAGAGCAACTATCAGGTGCCAAGGGAGGCAGGTCTGAGGAATATTTTGTCACTAGCATTGACTAGGACTGTGAAGATAGGATTGTCATTGCGAACCATCTTAATTTTTATACAGTTTACTCTCGTAGAATACATGTGCCATCCTTCTCTTGTGGTGCTATTGAGTATGGAAGAGGTTGCAGATAGGTAGAAAAAGAGAGCAGTTTAATTCTTGATCAGCAGGACATCCTAGTGGTGCTGATGACTGTGTGTGTACATTCTATGTGTATCTGTGAGTCCACAATGTATATGGGTAGCAGACAGAATCGGGATATTCTGCACTGAATCCGAATCCTGTTTTCCACTTAAAATCACTGTTCATGCTGTGATGATATTCTTTCAGATTATTTTAGCATGCGTATACGGACTCATAAAAACTATAGTGCATTATAGTGTTATTTTTTCACTTAATTTGTGTTAAATATCTTTCATTGGCAACATACAGAATTTCCTCATCCTTTATGAAACCCATGAAGTGTATGCATTGCCTAGGTGGGCCATAAGTTTATTTAACCGATTCTGAATTGATGAATATTTAGAATGTTTTCTATATTTCACCAAGGTCAACCAGTTAAAAATGAAGTAAATTTTTATAATCACCAATTTATACTCCCCAGTAGGCTATAAAAGAGTGTTTATATGTCGTCAGTCCTAAGTAAATCAGAATTTTCATCCTTGTCAATCTTATGAGTAAAACATGAATTATTTCCCTTTGTTTTAATTTACATTAATTTAGAGTGAGCTTAAGCATCTTTTTATGTTGTTGGTCATTTGTGTTTCTTATTATAAAAACTGGCAATGCATATGTTCTACCTTTTTTAAAAAATAGGCTGTTTTCTTTTCCATATTAATGCGTTGATCTTTGAATGAGGGACTTTAACTATTTGCCACTTACATGGCAAATATATTTCTTAGTTTGGTTTTTTAATTTACTCATGGTGTATATCAGTTAGAATTCTTTATTTTGCAGATAACAAAATCCAACTCAAAAAAGGACGTTTATTGACTAAAAGATCAAAACTAGTTCAGGGTTGATTCACTAACTAAAACATTGAAGCGCTGTATTCTTTCCTTCTCTGTCTGCCTCTTCCGGTGAGAGCGTTTCGTGTCTTATGGTGGCTAACAGGCTGCCATTGAAGCAGGTGCTTGTTGTTGTTTTATCAGGTTTTATATCGCATTCCTCACTGTGAGAAATGGACCAATGCGGCACTTTTAGAATAGCCAGGAACATTTTATCCTAAGATACGCCAATATTTTGTGTGCATTTGTATTTTTTTACTTTTAATTTTTTTATTTTAAAATAAGATACAGAATTTTAAAACAAAATGATAGGAAGTTAACAGTAGTTATTCTATTGTCTATTGTTATCTTCAAAATAGTTGCTCAGATTACCAGATTTAGGCATGCAAGATTGATCACACAATATAAATACTAGCTGTTCCTTTCAATGAACTAATAAAAATTAGTATTACGGTTGTCTTAGCTATCTTGTATATATGTATATGTATTTATATATGTATATGTATAAGTATTCCTTCCTTCTTTTTCTCCTTCCTCCATCCCAGTTGTTTTTTCCTTTTGAGCGGTCTCTTTCCATTTCACAGTATCTATTGTACCTTTGGGATCTTATTCACTCTTTCAGTTCCTTACACTAGGGAGATAATAGCTGTAAATTAGATTACATT